CTTGCTCCGCCTCCAGCCCCGCGCGTGCACGTGCACACACACACCTGCCTGGTTTTCCTGGCTGCCCAGTGTGTCACCCATCTGTCTACCTGGTCTTCCCTTCTCCCTCCTACTTGTCAGTGGGGCACAGTGTGAGTGTGGGGAGGATTAAGCTGGAGCCAACTCCAGTTCCCCCTTTGCATCTCCTTCTGGTTCCATGAGGCATCTTGGGCTGCTAATAGCAACACTACATACTGTCCAAACTCTTTTTTTTTGGCAATGTCTGTGCATACACAGATGTTGCTAGTGCCATTTTGAGGGCTACCACCATTAAAAAAAATTTTCCTTGCCACTGCTAGACTTGCTATAGCATAGAAATGGAAAGATGAGAAACCTCCTACCTTGATTTCTTGGAAAAACAAGATTTGGGAACATTTTCTATTAGGGAAAATGGCCTCACAGAATGCGGCACTCACCTTGGTTTATGTAAATTCCAAGCAATTTGGTTTCCAATGATTGCATACCAATCTGAGAGAGACTTTATTCCTAATAATCGTCATTACCGGAAACTCTTATTCTTTTGAACTATCTAAAATTGTGTTTGTCTCTCAGTTACTGTACAGATTGTCACTTATGTACTGTTAGACATGAAGTATTATCCACTCATGCAGTTTACAGCTTCTTTTTGTGTTAAATGTTATATTTAAAAAAAAAATCATAAAAAGTCTTTAAAAAAAAGAATTTATTTTATGAAATTTTTAGGTTTGCACCCTAATTCTGGGTGGCCCCATTGTGCAGATTCTTCTATCTGTACAGTGAGCCGAGACATGGCCGTTTGTAGGTACCTTATGATATGTACGAATGACATACATTGAAATTATATGCACTGTATGAATTGTGTATAAAATCCATACAACTTGTGCATGCGATATGAATGAATCTACAAAACCAGCAGAGAAGTGAAACTGACACAAAAAGACATGAAATCGGGAACATGAATTAATTCCTGTTTTGAAGGGAAAGCCCTACTCCATTGTTGCGCCTGGGATCCAGAGGTACTGGGCACTCTCACGCATGCTAAATAATGTAGTTTCAATCCCCTTTAGTGATTATTTGCAAGTGGATTCTGCCATTTCACACAGTAAAACCCAGTTGCAAAGTGGACTGAAATTCGACTGAAGGAGTGTTATTTTGTGTGTGTCTTTGAATATGGAGATTCCATGTAGCTGTCATGGTTAAGCAGTCATCAACCCGATCTACCCCCTCATGAATCTGTCAAGTCGTTTTAACAGCCCATCTCAGCTACAGATCTTCAACAGATCTTGAGAGGTGCATGCAGCGTGTCGCATTTAAGATCTATAATATTTTTATCCCCACTTCCTCCTGAACCAGGCCTCAAGGAGACTTAAGCCAACAATCTCACCAAGGGCAGCTTAGCCTTAGTGTGCTAAACTGCCACAGGCAAGGTGACTGTTCTTAACACGGAGCTGAAATCATGACCTCACAACTACTTCGTGCAATCCGAAGTGATACATCCAGAATTCTACCGCTGCATTCTATGAGCCACATCATAGCATAGCTCCTAAAGACGGAGTCATTCACCTGCTTGGAAAACATATGCAGAAAGAGTATATTCAGCAGATTTTCTACCCAGTCCCTGAATACCCCTTTTGGAACAGATGGGCAGTCTAACAAGTTTGTTAAAGACATGCTTTCCATTCTCCCCCCCTTATATGCCCATACTCTCAAACAACTCCAGCAAACCTATACTTCTCCCAGGTGAGGCTGACAGAACAAAATCCCCCAACTAACCTGTCCTGTTATTTATTATTAAAGTCAGTTTGGTGTAGTGGTTAGGAACACGGACTCCAATCTGGGAGAACAGGGTTTGAGTCCCCACTCCTTCACATGTGGCTGCTGGTGTAACCTTGGGTCAGTTACAAGTTCTTTCAGAGCTGTTCTCTCAGGAGCAGTTCTCAAGAGAGCTCTCTCAGCTCCGCCTGCCTCACAGGGTGTCTCTTGTGGGGAGGGGAAGGGAAAGGAGATTCTTAAGCTGTTCTGGGACTCCTTCAGGTAGTGAAGGGTGGAGAATACATCCAATCTCCTCCTCCTCCTCCTCCTCTTCTTCTTCTTCAACCTGGAACCTCTCATTTAGGTCAGCAGGGCAGACCACCCAATGGCATGTATTCATTTAATTCATTACTACCACAACCGTCTCCCCAATGAGGACCCAAAGGGGCATACGTTGTTCTCCTCTCCTCCATTTATCCACACAACAACCCTGCGAGGCAGGTTAGGCTGAGAGTGGGTGAATAGCCCAAGGTCACCCAGCAAGCTTCAGTGGTATGAATGGGGATCAGTGTTCCCTCTAAGCTGAGTTAGTGTGAGCTAGCTCACAGTTTTTTAGTCTCTGGCTCATAGATTTTTGTCTTAGCTCAGGAAAGATGGCTCCAGAGCACACTGATTTATGCAGCAGCCAAATCGCTCGCTCACAACTTTAATGCCAGTAGGTCACAGAGCAGAATATTTGCTCACAAGACTCCACAGCTTAGAGGGAACATTGGTGGGGATTTGAACCTGCATCTCCCAGATACTGATCCGGTGCTCTTAACCCCTACACCACAGAGGCGCTAAGATATTGGGGAGCCTTTAAGAATATCATGCACCAGAGCTGAGTCACCACATCCACGTTCAGTCCCAAGCACAGCCCGGTAAGGCTATAAAGGTTTCTCACTAGGAGAATTTTGACACGGGAGAGGAGGAGGAGGAGGAGGAGGAGGAGGAGGAACGTGCCCTCTCAGCCGCCAGGAAGCGCAGTTACTGGGATGCTAAGCTGGCTGGGAAAAGCAACAGGCCACCGTCCCTCACAAGCAGGGGCCATTTCCTGCAGGAGCGCACAGGAGCGGAGCTCCGGCAGTAAAGAGCCCAGGGGGTGGGACTTTCGTGGAAGGTAGCAGGAGTTGACTTAACAGACGACTGCTTCTTAAATGGACAGTTCTATGTGGCTTGCTCCAGAGTGAGCTCATCAAGCAGCCTGGTGATTTTAGCACCTGTGGGCAGAACCACCAATGTGGTCTACAGAGAGGTCCTTCAGTAGAGGGGGGGGGGGAAGTATGTATGTCTGTCCTGGTCGCGACCGGGAGCTCCTGGACCCAGCGGGAGACGGAGGGAACCCGCTCGCCAGCCAGCTAACCTTACTCACCCAGAGGACCAGGGAAAAGGGCAAGGAACCTGGAGGAGGGCTAGACGCACAAGAGGCCGCCACGGAGGAGACAGGAGATGGCAGCGAAGCCAGAGGCAGCGGTGCGGGTCCCCGAGGGAGCAGCAGAAAGTGCAGAGCCAGGGTGCAGCTCGGGGGCGGGCCCGAGCTGGCTGATGACGAGGAACTGGGCTGGCTAAAGCTGTGAAAGGCAGAGAGAGAGAAACGAGCGCACGGGGTGGAGAGAGAGAATGGGAGCCGGACGGCGGGAACAGCGAATGCCAGAATCCCAAGGGGGTAAGAGGGTGACGCAACCCTCTGCACACCCCGTCGTCTGAGGCCACATCTCTCCAGGGGAAGGACCCACCTTGGCTCAAGCTCTTCCTCTCTGCGGCTCCTTCCCCCCCCCTTTTGTCGTGCGGGGAAGCCCTACAAGAGGTAAACCCTGACTGCGCATCCCTTGTTCATTGGGGCAGCACGGCGACCGGCGGCCCACCCTCACGGGCGGCAGGAGCGTGACCCCCTCCTCTGCGAGGACAGATCTGCACGTTCCCCCCCCCCAATAATAGCTAGCAATCCAAAACAGTCCAGTGGAGCCTGAGCGGTGGGTGTTGCCTTCTGACACACTTCCGGTGATGCTAGGGGGTGTGGCATATGCAAACAAGTTATGCTAATGAGTTATGCTAATGAGCTCCTGCACCTCTTTGTCTACGAACTGACCCCTGCTCACAAGTGACTGACTAAGCAAGTCAAAGTTTGAGTTCAGTGCCATCTTTAAGAACTGAGCCTCCCCATTTTCACACCTTACCCCACTTCCTTTCGCTGCATTTTCCCCATTAAATACAGCCTGTGTTTTTGTTCCAGTGGTGCACAAAAAATATAAAAAGACATTTAAAGGGCATTAGGGAAACCAAGATTCTCCCGCAAGCGGGGAAACAAAAGAGGGGGGCAGATCCACGCGTCCCTTCTATACAGGTTGCTGGAAATGAATACCAGCGGCTCTTCCTCACCTGAGTGTTTTGCGGATCATGTCCTCGTCGGTGATCCCGTAGTACGTAAGAGTTTCATTCCAGGTAGGATTCAAAGTGTTCCGCAAGGTTTTGGTCCTCAGTTTATTTGCCTAGAAGAAGAAGAAGGAGGAGGAGGAGGAGGAGGAGGAGGAGGAGAAGGAGAAGGAGAAGGAGAAGGAGGAGAAGAAGAAGAAGAAGAAGAAGAAGAAGGAGAAGAAGGAGAAGAAGGAGAAGAAGGAGAAGAAGGAGAAGAAGAAGAAGAAGAAGAAGAAGAAGAAGAAGAAGAAGAAGAAGAAGGAGTGAGGAGGAGGAGGAGGAGGAGAAGAAGAGGAAGAGGAAGAGGAAGAAGAAGAAGAAGAAGAAGAAGAAGAAGAAGAAGAAGAAGAAGAAGAAGGGAAAAACCCAGAGAAGGCAGGTGGTGAGTGTGGTGGGTAATTGCTTTGACAAGGAGACAAAGCTGCCCTCCTGCACCCCCGCTCCTGTGCCCACCCTCTCCTCATCAGCTTCCTCCGCTTCCTGCCACCCCGTGCGACCTGCCCCTGCCCGAACAGAGAAAGTCTGCTGCTAACAGGCTGGTTCTATCGGTGCTCGGAGGACTTCAGAGACGTGGAGAGATACCAGCCAGGTCGTTTGCAGAATAATCCAATTATCCCACTGAAGCACTGTAAATAAGCAGCGGCGCACCAAGGCCAGCGAAAGGGCAGCCATTTCGTACATGCGGAAGGGAGGGAAAGAAAAAAACAGAACTCCAAGGGGTTTGGAGTAGGGATTTTCCAGGGCACTTCCTTTCCTGACTAGCTGTAGTCTGGACCCAGGAAGAGGGGGACTCAGGGACGGAGTTCTGATTTGATCGAGTGAGGGCTGACACCATGCCACTTCACCTAAAATGAAATCCAAAGTGGATATAGTGGAGGGGTGAGACTGAACGGCAAAAACCGTCCATTTCAGCTTGAATATCCTCATTTTGATTCTGCTTCTTGTAGCGAGAAGCAAATGGGACGTTCATTCTTTTTGCACCCATTTCTCTCGCCTGGAGCTGGATTTTTTTCTTTCCTTGCACCAAAACCAAAAGGATTCTCAACAGCTGCAATGAAAATCAGGGAAACACAAAAATGATGTCCAGAAGAAGATACACAATCATATAGTTTATGTGGCCATATATTAGTTCATCCCCAAATGCAAAAGTTCTTCCTCAGGAAGAATACTGGAGGAATTTGGAGGGACACCAAACAAAAACTAAGCTGTCGGGCAAAATTTATCTCATGGGGAAGGTTTACACATGTGGAGTTAAAATCAGGTCTTCCAGGTTCATGGAGAGCCAGTCCAAATGCAAAGGGATTGCTGGACAGCGCTTAGCCCACATAGAGAAGAACTGGGTGCGGGCTTCGCCAAGAACGATCCCGCCACCCTCGCAATAGTTGCAATAATATACTTCCCTTAAGAAACAACAGCAAAATAAAGATAAAGCCCATCTGGGTAATACTCCTTAGCATTTATATAATGCTTTTAGCATCTATTGAGCTTCACATATTACCTTGTTGCAGTCATTTACAACAGCCCTGTAAGGCACGTACATACGGGCGCAACTGACTCATGGCGACCCCAGCAAGGGGCTTGCGAGGCAAGTGAGGAGCAGAGGTGGTTGGCCGTGGCCTTCCTCTGCAGAGTCTTCCTTGGTGGTCTCCCTCTCCAAGTACCAAACCCTGCCTCGCTTCCAAGATCTGACGAAATCAGGGTCTACCCTGCCGCTTTCCCTCCCAGACCTGTAAGGTGGGCTGCCATTATTACCCTCGTATTTCAGGTAAGAGGGGCTGAGAGAGACCGGCTTCCCTAAGGGTCACCTCGCGAGTTAAGCGGCAGAGGCAAAAGCCAGCCTGGGAACCTCCCAGTTGCAGCTCACCTTTTGCCAGGACCGCTTCTCGGGAGAGCTGTTCATTCAAGACATGGATAAGTCCTGAATCGATACATGTGAACAAGTGAGTACACACACTGCCCTCAGTGTCCGGGAAAGGCCATTGTGTACATCATCACACACACACCCCGTTCTGCATGTACAAAATAATCTAATGTATTATTTATTTAGACATTTACAAGAAAGGGGACCCGCGATAATCTTGGGGGGGGGGAGAAGAGCTCCACGCAGAGCAGGAGGAGGAGGCAGCAGCACCAGGTAAGCCCTCCCCCCCCATCCCCAGACACCTGCGGCGTGGCCTGAGCGGCTTCTAGCTACCGGGCCCCGTCAATCTCTCCCCTCTCCCCCCACCTCGGCTCCGGCAGCGAGGCCTAAGTGGCTCACAGCCACCGGCCTACTGCAGAGATCCCAGAGCGTTCCCTGCGAATGCGCAGGAAACGCTCTTTTACTTTGGGGGGGGGATTTAAATATCCCCCCTATATTTTTTCAACTTTTTAGATTTGTGTGCACACCTGGGGACTGCCCCAAGTGTGCAGGAAAATCTCACTGCCCCTCAGGTGCCCCCGATGTGCGGATTTAGATATCCACACGCAGGGGGCGCCTTCGCTATTAGATATATAGATACCCCACTTTTCTCTCCAACAAGGACCTGAAGCGGCATACCCTCATTCCTCCTCTCCTCTGTTTTACCCTCACCACAATCCTGTGAGATGAGTCTGAGAGTGACTGGCCCAAGGTCACCCAGCGAGCTTCCTTAGCAGCGGGAGGGGGGATTCGAACCTGGGTCTCTGAGATCCTAGTTCAGCACTCTAACCAGTCTACCACAAAGCAGAAGAAGAAGACGACGAGGAGGAGGAGATTGGATTTATACCTGCCCTTCACTACCTGAAGGAGTCTCAGAGTGGTTTACAATCTTCTTTCCCTTCCCCACAACAGACACCCTGTGAAGTTGGTGGGGCTGAGAGAGCTCTTTTAAGAAGTGCTCATGAGAGAACAGCTCTGAGAGAACTTGTCACTGACCCAAGCTCACACCAGCAGCTGAGTGTGGAGGAGTGGGGAATCAAACCCGGTTCTCCCCGAGTAGAGTCCTAACCATTACACCAAACTGGCTGTCAAAGGAGAGGGCAGCACTCCCATAGCGTTTCCTTAGTGCAAGGTTACCCTTTCCTTCCTTCACCAGTAGAAGGGATGGCAACCCACTGCAGCGGCAATGCCATCCACCACCTTCGCTCTTTATGTAAAAATAAGGACTAGCAACACACATTGTATTATTATTATTATTATTATTAGTAGTAGTAGTATTGGAATGCTGAACCATTTTAGAATGTTCACATCCTGATTGCAAGTCAGTTCTTCCAGAGTGTATGGGGCTATATGGCTCTGTCCTCTGTTGCACTCGACGCAACTCAGCCTGTGCAGGCTCCCAGAGACACACAAGCATGGTGTGAAGCGTGGTCCTCAGACCTGACCCTCAATTTGGATGGGAGAACTAGGCGGTAGAGCCAGTCCTGGCGGCCTGCTGTCACACCTCGGGTCTGAGCAGTTAAGATCGTGTTGCCGACCAGCCAGGGCCGAGAAAACGGAATGATGGATGGAGAGAGAGCCTTCCTCCTTCCTAGGTACTCCAAGATGCCAAAGGAGGCGCATTCTGGCCCCTTGGGTAATGTGGCTTGGCAAGCACAAGGCATTCAGGAATCCCCCAGTGGTCGTTGCTTCCCAGATGCTAATGGTGCAGAATATAAGATGGGGTTAGAAATCAATGCTCCCTCTAAGCCATGGAGTCCTGTGAGCAAAAAATTCGACTGAGCTACTGGCATTAAAGCTGTGAGCAGGTGATTTGGCTAAATGCATAAATCAGTTTGCTCTGGAGCCATCCTTCCTGAGCTAAGACAAAAATGTGTGAGCTGGAGGCTTAAAAATTGTGAGCTAGCTCACACTAGCTCAGCTTAGAGGGAACACCGGTTAGAATATAAACTCTCAGTTTCTGGAGTAACTTCTTGCACTGAACCCATAGCAGTGCAAAACAAGGAGGCGCAAAACAAGCCTTCCTCCCTGACTCCCTCCCCCCTGCTTGCTTCCTTCCTGCCTCCCTCCCCCGGCTTCCTTCCTTCCTTCCTCCCTCCCTCCTGCCTCCCTCCCCCCTGCTTCCTTCCTTCCTTCCTCCCTCCTGCCTCTCTCCCCTCTGCTTGCTTCCTTGCTTGCTTCCTTCCTCCCTCCCTCCCTGCCTCCCTCCCCCGTTTCCTGCCTCCCTCCCTCAAGCAAGCCAGGAGTGGGATAAGATTAGAGGTTTTTTTAAAAAAATCAAAATTGCCTGGCTGGGTTTGGGGTGGGTTTTTGTTTTTGTTTTTTTGCATCCACAAATTGTCCAACAAGCCAAGCCGCTGAGACACAAGGACCCCACTAAGACGGGGCAGAGGGAGGGAGGAGGTGACACAGGCCGGGCAGGATTCTCAAGCCTTTGGAAGATTTATGAATATTGGCCGAATAATTTATTGCCCCTGGAAAGGAAAATTGCTACTCTGGGTATACCGGCCCCATTCCACCACCCCCACCCCCAAAAATACATAACTGCCAAGTGCGAATGATGCACAACAGAGATGCTATGAGGGATGGTGTGGAGGCAGCTCATGTTTCCACGTGTGCCTGTTTGTCATTTGCTTAATCGTCCGCTCGGTATCCATTGTTAAGCCGTGGCTCTTGTGCAGCGAGGTTTCCCCCAAGGCGCTCGCCTGCTGTACGTGGCTTCGTTACATATGCTGGACACATCCCAGGGTGGAAGCAGCAGGCTGGATGGGGAAGAGCCTGCCTGCCAAACAGATGCAAGCTGGAAGGCAAAGGAATGGCCGGTGCCAATAGCTCCTCTCTCCTAGTTCAAGAGAATACCTGGAGGGCGCAGGATGCTGTCCCAGCGCTGAAGCAAGGCAGGTCTCTATCTGATAAAGCCTGGATGGCAGACAGGGATGCCAGCCTCCAGGTGGGACCTGGGGATCCCCTGGAATTACAGCTCATCTCCAGACTACAGAGATCAGTTCCCCTGGAGAACATGGGTGCTTTGGAGTGTGAACCCCCAGACTCCATCCCCATATCTCCAGGAGTTTCTCAACCTGGATCTGGCAAACCTACGCTTGGGGAAGGGGCAGCAGTGGAGAGTCCTCCAGGTGGCCCAGAGAACCGGGGGGCGTGGGGGCTGGATGGAAG